TTTTCACTCCTCCTTCTTCTGTCTCCAAGCCTGTTTTTCTTATAATATCTTCTGCATACAAGTTGAACAGAAAAGGTGAAAGGATGCAGCCTCGTCCTAAAGTTGTGGATCCTCCTCTAATGCTCTGCTTGTATCCAGGGTGACCAGATGTCTTCCCCCCCCCCCAGGACTTGTCCTCCCTTTCAACCTTCTGTCCAGGAGGAATTCCAAAATGCCCTCCATTTGGAGCAGGACTCAGAAGCGGGAATTTATATTTATAGGAATATTTGTAGTGTTTATTTGAGAATGGCCTAGCTTTTTTGTGTGGAAAGTCCTTCATTTTGCAGTGCCTTCTCCTCCTTTGCCAGGGTGACCAGATGTCATAACTGCAAAGGAAGACATGGCAGCATAAAATGGAGGATCTCCTTAGTCCTTCTTGAAATGGAGGACATTTTGGAATTCCTCCTGGAGAGAAGGTGGGAAAAGAAGACATGTCCTGAAAAAGGAGGACCTCTGCTTACATCTTCCTTTCACCCAGAGAGGGGACCAGATGCTCCCAAAGGATGCCTCCATGGGGCATAACTGTGATGCTAGCCCCTGGCACACTGGAAACAAAATAACTGCAAGACCCTTCAACTTGTAACTTCTCAGGCAGCCTGAGAGAAGGGCTACCTCACACCATTGGGGTGGTTTGGGGGCTCTTACAAGTGTTGTGGATTTGGGATTTTCTTTTGCTTTGCTGGATGGACAACAGGGCCACCCCTGAATATGTTTCTTAAAGTTGTTGGTCCCCTGTTTATCTCCCCAAAGGGCTATAAAACTCCCAGGAGTACAGGGTTTTGTGACTGAAAAAGAGGACAAGACACTGCAAAATGTGGGACATTGGAGAAAAATGCAGGATATTACAAAATAAAAGCTAAAAACACTCCTATAAATATAAACTCATGCTTTTTAGTCATGCTCAAAATGGAGGACATTTGGGAATTCCTCCTGGGAAGAAAGTGGAAATGGAGGACATGTCATGTGAAAAGGAGGACCTCTGGTCCTTTGTGAGGCACCAGACCAGGCTGGATACTTCTTGTTGTTCTTGTTGTGTGCCTTCAAGAAAAATGAAAGCTATAACCAAACAAATGCTACAAACACTTTTATAAATATAAATCCATACATCTTAGCCATGCTCAAAATGGAGGGCATTCCCAAATAAATTCTAAAAAACACTCCTATCAATGTAAACCCCTGCTTCTTAGCTATACTCAAAATGGAGGACCTCCAAGAAAAAAATGGAGGGCATTCCCAAATAAAAGCTAAAAAACACTCATAGCAATATAAGTCCCTGCTTCTTAGTCATGCTCAAAATGGAGGAAATTCCCAAACAAAGTCTTTAAAAAAACATTCCTATCCATGTAAATGCAAGCTTCTTAGCCATGGCCAAAATGGAAGACATCCCCAAATAAACTCTAAAAACAGTATACAATCCCTGCTTCTTGGTCATGTTCAAAATGGAGGACATTCCCAAATAA